TAGTAATTAAAATATGAAAGGTAAATTATTTTATGCTACTTTGATCATATATATATTTCACTAATTTCAGGTGATAATAATATCTAAAAATATATTCATATATATGTGATTTAACCTTTTTTTTACAGCTAGACCGGGTTTTAGGGCGTTACAGATACACAAATAACTTACTGGGCCTAACGCCCTCTCCATCCCTGGAGTTGAGAGCGGGGCCATGATTAATTGGGGTGGAGCGCATCTATGATGATTTTGAGCATTTAATATTCTTTTATTAACAATAATTTAATCTATTTCTTTTGCTCTTGCTTCTTTTGAGTGCTCTTTATTCGAGAAAGAACAAAGTGAAACTGTTTTAAAATAAATATCTGCCAACCCGTTTAAAATCACTTTGTTGTAAATGGCCTCAGTTTTCAATGAGAGCAAGGCCAGTAATCGAAATCTTAGCCAAGAGAATTGCTTCTGGGGTTTTAGGTTATTAATATATATATATATATATATATATATATATATATATATATATATATATATATATATATATATATATATATATATATATATATATATATATTTGGATCCCTACTTTCTCATATTTTATTACGTAGTACTTACTCTTGGTACATCTTTCTCTTTCCGTCCTTTTCTATTATTACCAATATTTGTACTATTGTATTTTTCTTAAACTGAGATTCTGAATGAATACATATTGTGACAAATACAAGAATGGTGCCCCAAAATTTTCACATGATACTTGTGTTCAAAATAAAATTGTTTGTGTGGTGTCATTAGTATCAATGTTCAGTGTTCACATAAGTCATTATCTAAATTTGTTGGTGTTTCCTTTTTAGTTTTTTTATACACAATTCTTTTTTAAGATACAAATATTTAGGCCTGTCAATGGGTCGGGTCTAGACCCAGACCTGACCCAGACCCGGTTGTTTTTAATGGGTACAGGTCTATATTTTATTCCGTTTACCCGGACCCGGACCCGGATCCAGACCCGTTAGTATTTTAAATAAACGGGTCGGGTATGGTACACATGATTCCGACCCGTTAAGGACCCGGACCTGTTTAAAATTTCTTATTTGTATACACATACACTCAAACATAAAGTGATTATTTATAACACTTTAAATAAAATAGAAACTAATACATATATATACATAATAATACATAAAGTTATTAGTTGTGAATTTGTGATTATTCAATAAAAATATACACATTAATACATCAATATTGCGGAGTATATAAGTGATAGTGATCAAGATAGTAAGATACCCTAAAACTAATATTTATTACTATTATTATTAATATTATTATATCATTATCATATATAATACTACATATGATTTTATACTCTTAGTAGTCCAAGAGACCTTTTTATGACTTAATTTCTAGTTTATTCTACGAGTTTTTTGTGTGAGAGAAAACGGCGCAAATTGTGGAGCTATATGCCTGTACAAGAACCGATACTTTATTAGATAAAAGTACAATTTCTATGAGAGAACTTGATTTTTTTTTGAAAAGTGAAGATATATTTTGTTTTTAAATTTGTACACTTTGCTGTATATTTCACATACATGTCTTGTTATTTTCACAAAGTTTATAATGGTGTGCGTACCATACTTAGCGGGCGGGTCGACCCGACCCGATTCCGAGACCCGTTGGATAGGAATGGACTAAACCAGGCCGGCCCGGAACCGGGCCGGCCCACTACTGTGCGGGCCCGGACCGGAGCAGGACCGGTTGGCCGGTTCCGGGCTTTTAGCCCGTTTGGGCGGGTCGGGCGGGCCGGGCTCGGGCCCAGTTTTGGGGAAACCGGGCCGGGCGGTTCGGGTCGGGCCCGGGTCAATTTTTTTTTGTTTTTTCAATTTTTTTCTTTTCCTAGGGCAGGGTTGGGTGTCTTGGGGAGGTTTGGGGGTGGGGTGAGGGGGGGGGGGGTCGGGGGATAACAAGAAAGCAAAAAAAAAAATAGACATTGAACCGGGCCTGGCCCGGCCCGGTTAGGCCCGGACCCGGTATCAACCCGGGCCGGTTCCGGGCCCAAGAATTTGCAAAAAAAACCCGCTCGGGCCCGGCCCGGGTCCATCCCTACCGTTGGGTCTGGGTCTGGATCCGGGTCCAAATTTTCAGACCCGCCGGGTAAACGGGTCAGGTCCGGGTCCATTATTAACTTAGCGGGTCCGGGTCTGGAACACTACGTTCCGACCCGGACCCGACCCATTAACAGACCTACAAATATTCATTGACATATTATGTTAGCTTCATTCCATTTATTATAACTTTGTCAAATTTCTGAATAATTAAGTACTACGTAAAAAATTGTGGTTGAGATTTGTACCATACTACGATATAAAAAATATAATAAGCATCGTAAATGAATTTGTTCAAATGAAAAAGTGGTTCAAACATTTAGAAAAGAAAAACCAAAATATGATAAAATTATACTCGTAAGAAATAGAAAGAGCAACGACGATATAAAGTATAAACGATAAACACATCAAATTAATAAGGATTGCTTTCTTTTGGATTGTTTTCAGTTCCAGATCAGACAAGATCAGATCAAATCAAACCATACTAGACTTAAACATATCATGTCAGACCAGACTAGAATTGAACAGACCATAACAGACTTCCATAGTTGTAAAATGCACAGAGACTATATTTACCAGACCAGACTAGACTAGACTTCAACAGATCAGATCAAATAAAAACCAGACCATTTCAAATTTCAGTTGATCTAACACCTATGTCTTATCCCATCTATTAGATTTGGTGGCTTATAAGCTGAAGGAAGAAAAAGGAAAACAAAAAATACACCCTAGTGGAGAAATATGAAAAACAAAAAGCGCACGCGAAAGAGCCCTAGTTCCGGGTAGGGTTGGATTCGGTTCGGGCCACCCGGCCCGTGACCCGGCCCGGCCCGACACTGTGCGGGCCCGGGACCGGCCCGGTCGGGCGGTCCGGGACCGGGTATGGACCCGAACCGGGAGGAAGGGGCGGGGCGGGCTCGGTTCATCATTTTTGTGACCCGGCCCGGTCGGGTCGGGCCCGGGCCCGGGTCCGGGTCTATTTTAAAAAAAAAACTTTTTTTTTGTTTTTTGGCTACTAGCCGTTGAGGTCTTGGGGGTGGGGCTGGGGACAACCCAAACGGCTATATAGCCGTTGGGTGGGGGGTAAAAAAACCTATAAATACTCCTACTCTTAAACATTTTTTCATATCTCTTCTCCAATTCTTACTAAATCCTATTCTTAACTCTCTACTCTCTAATTCTCTTATTCTCCAATATATTATATATCTACTCTCTAATTCTCTTCTCCAAGAAGTTAAGATGGAAAATCAAAATGCCATTATACGGTATAATTTTGATAAGCAGAAGGACCCGAAGACCGGGATGTGGTACGCAATTTGCAAATGGTGCGAAAAAAAATGTATCATGGGGGCTTCAGGCGGATTCGGGATGGCAATCAAGCATATGAAGTCATGTGACAAAGCCAAAGGATCGGGAGGTGCGGGAAGTTCCGATTGATTACAATTTTCAAAATGTTTATCTCTTAAAGTTTGTTTTAATTTTCAAATGTAGTTCCTATTTCATTTCAAATAAATGCAATTGAAGTTTGTTTTTAATACTCGTATAAAACTATAAACTATAAATATAAATTATAAAAAAAAAATAACCGGCCCGGCCCGAACCGGACCCGACCCGTGACCCGGGCGGGTGGCCCGGCCCGAACCGGACCCGTCCAACCCGCGAGCCGGTCCCGGGCCCACTTTTCTTGAACCGGCGGCCCAACCGGGCCCGACCCGGCCCGAATCCATCACTAGTTCCGGGCATACTGCTGGAAAGATCTGAAAACAAGGGAGCCGCTCCCCCAATCTAGGATTGGATATGAATCAAATAGTTTATGGTCAATTCGGGATGCGAATTCAGAAAATTCAAATACGAATACAAATAAGAATTCTAAATTTTATTTGAATGGTTATCAAATACAAATACGAATATCAGCATATTCGATTCAAATGTTAATCAAATATATTCGATTAATAATGATAATAATATTAATAATAACAGTAATAGTAATAATAGTAGTAATAACACTATAATAACTTTTAAAAGCTAACTATACCCTCAAAGTGAAGCCCATATATACATTTACGTGTACACATTCCAAGCCAATTTGTAATAAATCAAAAGTAACATAAGGAGTAAGAGTTGTAAACAAAACAAATAATTTTAATTCAACTCGTAATTTGGATTCATAAATTATGATTTAAATTTGAAAATATGGAATATAAAAACGAATACAAATCAAATTTTGGTTCAAGCATTTCTGAAATACGAATAAAAATAATTATGTATTTGATTCGAATAATAATAAAATATATATTCCTTTATGCATAAACAAAATCAAGTATGTAGCAAATCAAGTATATTCGTATATACTAGATTCACTTGAGTATATTGTGCACGTACAAACTAAAAATGCATCGATCTATTAAATTTTAAAGAAAAATGTAACGTTACAAATTAAATTCTAAAAAAACATATAAAGTCCTATCATGCATTTATAACATAAGAAATTTAGAAAAGGTTGCTTTAAAGTGATATTTGGCTAATATTTAACTGGGGTAATTTGAGTTTGCACCCCATACGAAAAGACAAAAATGTCCGCAATCAGGATTATGTTGAAGGTCAACAAAAATTGTTAATGGAGGGGCATTTTAGTCTTTTCATGCAGGGTTGGGGTGCAAAAACAATTTTTTTTTAAAACGGAGTGTAAAGTCCAATTTAGACAATAATATGGGATGCAAACTCAAATTACCCCTATTTAACTTATGATCATATCGATTCGATATTCATATATTACTCGTTAACTATTCACATTTTTAGACAAATACGAATACAAATCGAAAACAATATTCGTTTCATATTCGATTTCGGATTCGAAAAAATTAAACAAATACAAATACAAAATCACAATATTCTATTCGATTCGGTTCCTTACAACTCTACCCAAACCGATCCGAGTGAGAGTGTGGGGCTTCCAAAAAGAAACCCCTCCAGAAACACACCACCTCGCTGGAATCAGCCGTCTTCGGAACTCTAGGGTTTAAGATTGGGGGAAATCACGATGGCAGCGGTGAACTGGTGGTGCACGGCGGCGAAGCGGTTGGTGGTCGCATCGGAACGGCGGATTTCGTATTTGTCACAGTCGTCTTCAGTTAGCCGCAGCACATCCGCGATGGGAGAAGCGCCGGTCCTGTGCGGTCGAGGGGACAAGAAGACAAAGAAGGGGAAGCGGTTCAAAGGATCGTACGGAAACTCGAGACCTAAGAAGGAGAAGAAGATCGAACGCATCAAGGACAAATTGGAGGTTCCTAGGTCCACTCCATGGCCTCTTCCTTTCAAACTCATCTAGTAATTCTATTACCGTTCCATGTTTGTTTTTATATGTTTTGTCTGTGACAAGAATGATTGTGTTGGTTAGTTTCTTGTTAATCTTGAATGAATTTAGTTGATATTTTCATCTAGTTGGAGGTTCATATGATTAGGAAATGATGAAATATGCTTCATATTACTACGTAGTATTATTTGGATATGTGGGTTTGGATGTCCACGGGAGATGTAAACAATAATACAATTAGGTGTTTTAGGAACAAAATTTTGTACAGCTTCAACCTTGCCTCCCCAATTTGGGAGCAATCATGACCTTCAAGACAAGATGGCCTCTGTTTTTGGGTGTCTGTAGTTTCTATGCGCTCCCTTTCATGAATCCATGCTCTTTTCTTTGGGTGTGTATGAGTATGAGTATCACAAAATATACTGATCAGTCAAGGATTTGCCTTCTTCCAGCATGTGGAGATTATATATACATCCTGAGAATTTTGTCCCTGCTCTTTTTTTTTTTTTGCTTTGTTCGAATCAGACATCCGGGATGATTCATATTAAAACATTCAAATCCCGCCATGCGGGATGTTGCCCTTTCTGACTAGATAAGAATAATACTATAGCAGACAAATCCACTCAACTAGATTTTCTATTTCATAGGAAACATTCAATTGGGTGGGATACGTTCAAGATTAGAAAAGAAAAATAGATTAGGCCAACTCAAACTAAACCAGATAGATTTAAATTTGACATTGGATGCTATATTTCATGTAAGAAACAGAAACATTTATAGATCATACCAGGATATAAAGATTTGGACCACCAAGAAACATTTCCACTGACTTAGAGCATCAGACAAGAAAGATTTATAGTAAATTAGACCAATTCAGAAAGGTTTATATCATACAAGAAACATTCAAATTACATCATATTGACCAAACCGGAAAGCCTGATATCTTATATGTTAGATTTCATTTGTTTACTCCCGAGGAACTCACTACTTGATTCATCCCTAATCCCTATCTTGCTGAAATGTTTTCCTACTCTATCCGATTAAGAAAATTGAGTTGCTTAGTGTAAGTCACGGTTTTACAAAAACGTGTCCTAAACATTTAGAGCGTGTTTGGTAATAATGAAATTGGTTAAATTTATTCAAATTGATTAAGTTTTGTCTGAAGTAATTGAATCTGCTAAATTATGGAGAAATGATACTTAAATATATTTTGTCAATCAAATAAAGAAAAAGTATATGAAAAGTAGCTAAAATTCTCTAGAGTAACTTCAGGAAGACTAACCCCAACTTTACTTATTTTGATCGTTACACAATTCAGTCATTTAGTGTGTGAAAGTATGAGGTGAGTTTTCTCGCACTTAAAATAGATTGTAGAATAGTGGTGTAAGTATGAGTATCGTCTCCACAGGGACGGACAAAAGGGAATTAAGAATTAAATAAATTCAGTGATTAAAAATAAATAAAATAAATGCGTCGTGCGAGATTTGATTGATTGAGAATTAACTAATGTGAATGAGCGAATAAAAATAGATTGGTTTCTCTCCAATTAACGACGAAGGGAACAAGGATTGATTCCGGGGTAACCAGGTTTCTGGCAGATCAGGCTTAATTACATGAAATTAAATTAATTGAGCCTAGCTAGTCAATACTAAGTTATAATCGCTCTTGCGGCGTAGAGTACAATAATTTAGGAGATCAGACTGATATCTCATGCGACAGGATCCTAAAATTATTGTCAAAACGAGCGAGCGTATGACCTCTTAATCGTTACTAATCTCTTAGCGAACGAAAAAGTGTGTGTGATGGTGTCCTAGAATAAACTAGATCTCTCTTAATTTATTTTCAAGCTCTATTCCTCTTCATTTGATCCCCTAGCCACTCCTAGAGCTCTCTTGCCGTCAAAACTTCATCGTGAACCTCCCGGTGACTTCCAAAGCTCTCAATTCTCTATCGAATGCATCATCAACTCATCCTGATTGCTTCTCAAATGTCAGTGCCAGAATCTAATTCCTGATTTTGACTCCAAATAACACAAAACTCGAACCAACGCCGGGTAACATAATTTGAGCTAAAATTGAGACTTGTGACACTTAAAAGTTAGGAAAAACATCAAAAGCCGATCCCAACATGCATCAAATGCGTGTTGTAATACGGACTTATCAGATTCCCCCACACTTAAACTTTTGCTTGTCCTCAAGCAAACTGAACAACGGGACTTACGATAATCACTACATGGAATTTAAAACAATTAGCATGCACAGGTTGTTGGGTGTGTCTCGGAAAAACGAAGATATATTAATTAAATAAAATTAATTAATAAATAAAATAGCCAAAGAAAAAAACAGAAAATAGATGGAACAGAGTTTAGCCAGAGCTCGTGCTACGCACGATGTCTTTGAAATGTATTTGTCGTCTCCCACGTTGCTAGGAGCGTTGCAACGACCGTTTCCCAGGATACGTGGCTAACGAACTAACGTTTGAGCACACAAACGAGAGTTCCGGTGAACGAGAACAAAGGTAGATATTTCAGGAAATTTCGGAGTAGCTGGAAGTATTTTTACAGCTAAAAACTACGTACAGATTGCTAGTGAACGTGTAAGAACGTGTATTTGTTACAAAACACCTGCCAGGTATATATAGGAGGATTTGTTGTGTGTTAAATGGAGTGTTAATGGACCTGAACGTTGGACATCAATGACCGGTCCGTTGGGCATTGAATCGTCCATAAACTGTCCATTTAACGCAGCATTAAAAGATAAGAACGTTGGACATTTATTGCTGTAACGGACCAGAATGCCTCGAGCCCTTCTGTTGCGGCCAGAATACGTCGAGCCCTTCTGTTGCGGCCAGAATACCTCGAGCCCTTCTGTTGCAACCAGAACACCTCGAGGGTTTCTGTTGAGCCGAACATAAGCCGAGCGGTTCTGTTGAGAACAGAACCCTCTTCTGGTTCGGACAGAAAGAGAGCGATTCTGCCAGCCTGAAAAAAAATAAGGAACGTTACGGAAAGAAACAAAAATTAAATCGTATCTTTGAATGATAGATTTTTCGGACGGCATTCGTGTCCGCAGGTCGCCCGCGCACACGAGTCGCAATTTTTCTTCTCCATTTTCAAGATTTGATCGGCACCCCCTGCGCGCAAGAGAGAGCCTTTACCTTTAGCATTCTTAACTCCTTAAAAGAGGCTTCCCTTTATAAGGGGGTGAAAATCCCTTGAGTTTTCCGGTGCGGTATAAAACACACTAGAAACCCATCATTTTCTCAGTTTTTCCATTTCAACGAGTGAAATTCGAGAATCAATTTCTCATTCACCCGTTATCCGTTTTGAGCATACCATATATCGAATTGTAGTCCTTAACAAGGACAATCCGAAACCACTTTGACCCAACCCAAATCAGAAGTGGACCCCACTCAAATAATTGCCCCAAATGACCATTTAATGCAATTTTAACACATTTTTCCAACACAGGTAGTTAAAGGGATATTTACAGAACAGACAGAGTAAACCAAGAAAATTCTTCCATAAACTACATCTTGGTACTCTAGCTAAAATCAATGACTAAATTAATCACAACATCCTCAAAATTATGGCAGCACACACTAATAAACTAGCTGCTGATCAGAAGAACTTGTGAAGGCAGTCCCTTTCTTTGAGAGTTTTGGAATAATCAGACAAAAACTTAATGCGTTGGGGAATTTCAGGGCTATTTTTCGGATCAAGGAATTCAGTAGGACACAAATTAGGAACTATCATCTAAACCTATTGATAAACTCGGTTTCTAACAATCACACAATCATAGCAGATAAAGAAGAAGAAGCAGATAGAAAGATATGAGATATTCAACGAATCTGGTATATCGTGATAATGGCCGCTGCTCTCCCTCGAGAAGCAGAGCAGCGGCAAACCCTAATCTCTCGCCTCTATTCTCTAAAGCCTCAATCGTTAGGGTTTCCATAAGTTAGCCTCCTTTTATAGGAGAAGTTGGCTAATTTGTGGATTACACAGAAGCTAATGGGCTGATACACATTTGAGTCCCGTATTACATATTTAATTAGTAACTACACAAATACAAAGATATTTAACTAGATTGGACACCATAAAATACTCCTAACAATCCCCCCTTGGTGTTCAATCGTGTTCAATCAGCATTGCAGCGCAGATATATTTGTCTTTGTGTTGAGCTTGACTTCTGAGGAAGGCTTTCTGAAGAAACCCTTTCAATCTCACCTTCGGTGTCTTCTTGGCAATTTGATCTTTGATGCCGGGGGTTGAGGAATCTTGAAACTCTTGCTTATAGTCCTTGCCTACCAGAAGTAGCTCTTGATCAACTTCAATGAAGTCCGAAGACGCCTCTAGAATGAATGTTCTGATGATTTTCAGGCGCATCTTCAGCACACGAGTATCTGACCTTTGTCTCCTCCACAATGTAGTCTTTTTGACTATTTGAAATGAATGCGTTTGAGGAGACCTTGTCGGTGGCACAACGGAGAATGATGGTTGACTTGCGAGCGTAGCTGACCATTTGAGGTGTAGAGAAGAGAGTCGTTGATCTTTTTGCGATGGAGGAGAGAAGTGTCCGAGAATGATTAGGTGACATTTAACAGCATGTGGACCACTCTCCCCCTCATGACGATCCGATGAATCGGGACGTCATGCCTTTATTGTTTTATTCAAACTAAAAGAAAAACAGAAAACAAACAGAAAGGTAAAGTGATAACGTAGCCCCCCAGGGTCGTGTAGACGCCTGTTATCATCACTTTAGAGATAAACTCTTTAGCAATGGCCTGAAAATGTTGGTGATTCTTATGTTGCAACAGCAGGACTTCCTTCCAATTATTTGTCTACATTTGTAAAAGATGAGCCCTATGGAAATTCTAGCGGGTCATGTAGACCTGCAACTGACTCAAAAAATGCGTATGTGTCCTAGAAATTTCAAAACATTTGATAGTGAGGTAACTAGACACGATGTGAGCAATGAAAGTTCAGTGGCATGGGGCTGAGGCCACTGTAGTCAGTATCACTTGCCTCGGAAGAAGACAATAATGAGAGATGCGGTTCCCCGTGAAATATGATTAAACACATGTCTGTTGGGAGACAAGTGAGTGGTATTAGATAGGGTTCAACATGCACTGTTGGACAAGATGCAGTGATTTTTACCCGGGATCTGAATAAATTCAGTCCTGAACCTATTGGGATTGTCCAGAGTATTTGAGTGGCTAAGAGTAAATGTTCAATGGATAACATGCAGTTGAGGTAGCAGACTTGTCATTGATTATTGTTTTCTTGGTCACTTGAGCCTTCTGCTTCCTAATGCTCATAATGATCACTCACTCACTCACTTACTTTCGGCTTTGTCCCTTGGGTAGACTTAGTTGGGTTTACTAAGCCATAGGAACATGTTCTCTCATTGATTCTCTCTGTACTCCCCCTCAACTGGAGCACTCGATATCC